AACCAAATCTTGAAAAGCATAGCTTATAAGGAACCCCTCCATAGTTGTTTATCTGGTCCTAGATATGATAGGAATAATCTAATCCTAGTTTGTTTTGAACCTTCTCTTAATAACCCTCCTACCATTTTCTTCCATACTTTCCCAGAATAACTGCAACAAAAAAAAATAGATGACGTCATGACTCTTGCATATCCTGACATAGCACACAAGTCATATCAGTTGCTCTATTCCATAGCAGCATCCTATCACAAGTTTGCAATCTGTTTCGAATGACTAACCAGGTTATGAAGGAGTATTTTGGTGTTGATTGAGTAAACCAGACTCCATTACCCCAGGAACATACTGGTTGATATTGATGTATATACAACCAAGCTTTCTTTGTAGAAAGTTTCTTGGTGTATTTTCCTTCGGTATACTTCCATAGAGGAATATCATCCTCTTGATTCACATGCACTTGTAATACATCAATCTCATCTTCTACCTGATTTAATATATTAAGCTGGTGCCTTCTTTTTCTATGCCAAGTAAGTACATCCACCATTTTAACATCCCAACCGAGACCATGAATCATACCAGAAGGAAGTGTGTCTCCCATTATTTACTTCCATCCTAGGAAAAGTTCTTGTTAGATCTCTTAACTTCAGAAGCTTTTTCCACATTCATGAACCAGAATTCATGTTTCTTTTTATAGACCAAAACGATCCTTTTCTTATCAAATAAAAGTTGATCCGTTTAACCCACAATGAGGACCTAGCAGCCGACAACCTCCATATCAATTTCAGACAAAGTACTTTATTAACTTCCTTTAAGAGCTTAAGAGCTAGACCCACTTCCTTCTTTGGTAAACAAATATCTTTCTAGATGACTTTTGCCTTGTTTTAAGATCAGACCTTGACCAAAAGAAACCTGAGCATAACTTTCTATCTCCTTCAGAAAGCTGCTTGGTAATCTGAAAGTTGAGAGCCAGAAGTTGGCTAGACTCGTTATGACTGAACTAATGAGTTGCAATCTTCCTCCATGTGAGAGAAACCTTTATGTCCATGATCTCATTATTTTTCTCAAATTTTCGACGAGAGGCATATAATCATGACATGTCATTCTTTTTGTGAGTAGAGGAAGTCTTAAATATGTCACCAGTAGCTAACCCGATGAGAATGGAAAACGAGTTATAATTTCTTCCCTCTGATAAAATCCCTGCAGTATATAACGTCAACTTTTCTAGATTTATCTTTAACCCAGATATAGCAGCAAAGTCTCTGAAAATCTTCAGAACCCCCTCCATAGATCTTCTTGTTCCATCAGTAAATACCAAAGGTCATCCGCAAAACATAAGTGTGATATGTTTTGGCATCGTGGATGGTATCCTATCTCCTTTCTATTCGCTGTTTTGTCTATCATATGAGATAAGACATTCATACAAATAACAAAGAGATAAGGAGACAATGCACATCGATGTCACAGACCCCTTTTACTTTGAAAAAATCCGGCTCGTTCCCCGTTGACCTGGACTGAGAAAGACAGTGTACAAACACAGAGCTTAATCCAATGAATAAACTGATCAGGCATGTTCATAGCACACAATATTTTCAACAAAAAAAGGCCAGTGAACAGAATCAAAAGCCTTTACAATATCTATCTTCATAGCACATCTAGGTGATACCTCTTCCTTATGATACTCCTTGACAATCTCAGTTGCTAATAGCAGATTTTCCACTAACAATCTATCTTTCACAAATGCAGACTGATTATAGGAGATACATTGAGGAAACGTACATTTTAGCCGATTAGCAATGATCTTTGATATCATATTATATAAAACATTACAACATGAGATTCACATGTAATCCTTCATCTCTATGGCATTTTCTTTTTTCTGGGATAAGAGCTAATATGGTTGTATTCAAACCCTTTCAGAAGGAAACCCTTACTAAAGAAAAGATTGAACTGCTGTTGTGAAATCCTTGCCAATACTACTCCATAAAGCTTTAAAAAACTCTGTTGTGAATCCATCCGGGCCTGGTGATTTGTTACTCGGAATTTTGAAATGAACCTCTCTTATCTCCTCATTCGTAATTGGCTTTATAAATTGCATTCTTTCCATCTCCGAACATCTAAAATTTAGAGTTTGATGTAACTCTTCCACTGTTACTTCTCAAATATCTTCCAGCTCATAAGAAATAAATTCATTAAAGAATCTTTCAGTTTCATTTTTGATTTTCTCCTGAGAACCAACTACCTCACCAGATTGGCATTGAATCTGATGAATTTCATTCCTTGTTTTCTTTATCTTTACCGAATTGTGAAACACTTTATTATTGCTATCTTCCAATTGCAGCCAATACATCTTTGATCTTTGCTTAATCGTACTCTCATCAATTTATGATATTCTATGCAATCTAGCCGAATCACTCAACTCCTATATAATATTAACTTGTGAAGGATCAGTGAACAGCCTCTCCTGCTTTCCACATAAACCCTGATACGCTTCATTAACCCTCTTAGACAGATTTCCCAATTTATCTTTACTCAAACTTCTTATCAGAATTTTTAAAGCCATTAGCGCTTTTGAGAATCTAAAAAAATAGCAGATGTAGACTGAAAGAGTGGTTGAATTTCCTTCGAAAAATCTTCTATCAACTTTATAAACTCCGGCATATCCACCACTGAATTATTTGAATGGTTTTTGCTTACCAAGAGCCTCTGCTGTCAAATGAAACCTTTCTCTTAAGTAATCAGAACAGCCTCCTGCCTCAAAAACACCATAAGCTTGTGTGCGCTGATGAAGCCAAGTCTCATTGACAAAGAATCGATCCACTTCTTACATATAAGCCCTTAATCCCTTTTGTTACACCAAGTATATTTTGTTCCTTGACAACCTAGATCCATAAAGTGGCAATATTGGAACATATTATCAAACTCTCTCATACCAGTGCTTACTACTCCTGAATCTTGATGACCCGAATGCTCGTCAATATCCAATGTCTCATTAAAATCTCCCACCATTATCCACTGTTTGCTTTTAAACATTGGTAAATCTTGATGTGATTTAATATCCTCCCAAAGTCTTCTTCTACCTTCTACTTTATTATCCGCATAGATAAAAGAACAAAAGAACTTCTCCTTCTCCCCAGCAACTAGCACATATACTATTATTATTTTTTCAGAAGTGAAGACCGGTGTCAATCTTACTTGAGGACTCCAATTAACCCAAATCGTTCCCTTTCTGCTAAACTCATAGTTACTAATAAAAGACCATTCATTAAAACTGATGATACAATTTGCTGAGCCTTATTCTCCTCTACTCATGTCTCTAATAAACCTCCAAAATTTAATTCTTTATTTTGTATCCAATTATGAACCACATTATGCTTAGAACTTTGATTAAAACCCCTTATGTTCCAGAAGAATCTCGTTGTTGAGAAGGTTTTAGAGTACTCTTTCTTCCTGGATTCGATTAAAACCTCTCATGTTCCAGAAGAATCTCGTCACTGAGAAGGTTTTAGAGTACTCTTTCTTCCTTAATACGCAAGTCCTCGACTAATAAAAGACCATCCATTAAAACTGATGATACAATTTGCTGAGCCTTATTCTCCTCCACTCCTGTCTCTAATAAACCTCCAAACTTTAAATCTTTATTTTGTATCCAATTATGAACCACATTATGCTTAGAACTTCGATTAAAACCCCTCATGTTCCAGAAGAATCTCGTCAATGAAAAGGTTTTAGAGTACTCTTTCTTCCTGGATTCCCAGGTTTATCCTTACCAAGCACTGCTGCTTCTGAGAGAACCTTATGATTTGTTTTATTTTTCTCGGCAGAGAAGGCCTAGTAGAAGCACTTGCCAAGTCTTGCCAATGCTCTTAAGAATTCTGCATTCCTGGCATGTCTTTCTCTTTCTGACTTCCCTTAATACGCAAGTCCTCAACTTCAGTCGTATTAGCCTCCATGTCATCCTTTATATCACTTATATCTAGCAAATTTATTTCTTATATGTCATCACTTCCAAGCTTCTCCACGTCCTTCTCAATATCCTCCTCTCCCTTCTTTGTATGAATGGTGTCCTTTAAATTAACCAACTCCCCTTCCTCGTCTATATCAAGAAGCACTGAAAATCTAGATGGAGTTAAAACTTTCACCTGCCCAAATTTTAGTGTTTTCTTGTTTAAACTACTATTTGTTTTCCCCGGTGAGGCATCAGACCAACCATCTATCATTTGCCCCTCCTCAATTTCTTATTTGTGTGCTATATTATCCTCTTGCAGTATATGCTTATTCTCCACAACTGACTGAGACTTATCTTCCATATCTCCTTTTTTCTTTTCATTTTTTTCCTTTTATTCCCCCCCCCCTCTGTAATACTTTTCACCACCTTTTCTTCATTTCTTATTTGTTGCATTGATTTCACTGAGTCATCTTTTTTATTCATGACATAGACTTTATCAATGTGACCCCATTTCCCACATGTATTAGACCAAAGTGGTAACTGTAAGACCGTTCCTGAGGTTAAAGACCTCCTTGGACCCGTGGCCTCAATTTTAGTCCATTACATTGTATTTGATTCATTTTCAGTTTTGTATATTTTAATTAGTCATTTTCATTGTATACATGTATATAAACAATTCAAATAACAAGTATAAACAAAGGGTAAACCGATTTGTATTAATAAAAGAATTGAGATTCGTTTACAAAGTATCTAGTTGCATCATAAGCTATCATAAGTTCATACCTAGTATGATCTACCCAAACACCACACAATTTCTCACTGGCAGAGTCTTCATGGCTCCTTGGCTTGATCACGATTAGCCTCAGTTCCTGAAACCACACATCAACAAGTATTAAGACATAAACCAATATCCTAACAATTGATCTAGCAAGGCATGGTTCCGTTCCTAAGTCTAAACACTTAAACCTATATCTTATATCATGTATAATACACGGCCATAATTTTGTTTCACCCCAAGTACAACCGTAATACAAAATAACCACAAACCGGACCATCCATGACCCGCAGTGATCACACGACTGAGTACACGGCCTGGTCGGTTCCTTTGTTAGGTCCGCAGCTTTGTACCTGCATAAAAAACTTCCCATGGCACTTAGTCATTCAACCAACCATCCCCACAGACCAAGTAACCATTAGAAAGACTTCTCTTCAAACCGCAACACACCTGAACTGACCAAACGATCGATTCATCCATTCGCATGAATCGGCCCATTGGGCCTTAATGCTCCCATTTGGGCCAGCCCAAGCCTTGGCCCATTAGCAACCCATCTGAGGCCCAATAGTGTTCATACATGTTGAATGTTAGCCAGGCCAAACCTATCTTCAAGAACTGATCAAACAGATCATAGCAGTTTCGGTTCATGGTCTTGTTTTGAGAGTATGGCCTTACACGGCCATGACAAGGGTTTAACCAAGCCATTCCGACACCATATCCCATTGATATAAACCGAAAATAGAAAGTAGAACAAGAAGTAAAGTAATAATTGAAATATATAAGAGAGATGGACATAAACACTCGGCCATGGCCATAAACAACATCTGATCACCCGATGGTCTTGGCAAAGGATCGATGATAATGTCACTAACTTTGATTGCACATTCTGGGGACTTGGCGCCCTTTTCCAACTCATTGTACTTGTCTGTGGGATTCATCCCACACGGCCTTGTCCCTCCACAATCGATCTTAGCCTTGCTGTGATGTGATCTTCACAATATCGACCCACAGTGGAATAAATTTTACTTCTAGTTTCTCATTCAGTTCCTCAGGCATCCATTGAGTAAAAATCAGCAATATATTACCTATCTTCCACATACCCCTCCTCAATATCGATTAGTCTCCTTGGATCCGGATTTTGTTCACAATAGCATGAACTAGGGCTGGGTAAAAAAATTTGAACCCGAAAAACTGAACCGAATCCAATCCGAAAAAGCAGTACCGAATCCGAACCGAAATTGGTTAAATATCCAAATGGGATCAAAATTTTGGTATCTAGAGAACCGAAACCGAACCCGATCCGAAGCAAAATACTTCGGGTACCCGAATATATCCGAATTATATTTATATACTTGAATATATTAGCTATTTTTAGATGTAATATCAAAAAAAGTATCAAAAATATATAAGATATTTTGAGGTTATCCAAATATATTTAAAAATATATACAAATAGTCAATAATAAATATTTAGCTAAACAATACTGAAAACAACTTCAGTACTTTAAAAGATATATTGATTATCCATCCAAATATTTAAATCAAACCAAATTTTATGTTAAGTTAGTGTATTTTGGCATACATTACTCAAATATATATGTTATATATCATTTTTAGATTTAATTTTTTGCAATTTAAAGTATATATGAATTTTAAAAGTTATAAAATAATATAAACGGCTTATCTGAATACGAACCGAACCCAAACCGAACTTTATAAATATCCCAAAGGGACTGAAATCTCTAACCCAAAAAATCCAAAACCCGTATAAATCCGAATCAAACCCGAATGGATACCCAAACGCCCACCCCTAGCATGAACCCTAACAATGTGTGGAGTTGTATCCAGAAATTTCCCAATAAGGAAATCATCCCAAAGGAGATATGCGTTATCAATCACATCATCTGGTATTTCCACCTCTTTTTGACCTTATTTCTCAGTGATTTCCAGCTCATACTTCTTAAAAACCTTCTTCTCATGCGCTACTTATGCCCACGATGATCTCCCCTTATTTTTCTCCGATGTAACCCCCCCCCACCCCCCGAAGGGTTCACCATTCCTGATTGATCCTCCAATCAAGTTCCCCTCAAAGGGTTTGCCGCATCTGGTAGATCATCCATTACCGTAACTGATTTCTTCGATTGCTTCCCCGATCCAGATCCCCGAAGAGAGATTTCGGATCCCAATTTGTTTAAATCCACTCCTATCTACCCCCAGATCACCCTTCGAGCTTCCTGGTTATCTCTAGTCACCGGCAGATCCCTAACTGAACTCCGCGAAGTCGCCGATTTCATTTCGGAAACCCCTTTTCGTATTAATATGATATTCATATTTATAGCATTGATTTCATTATTATTTTTTTAAATTGTTCTAAGTTAAAAAAATCTCATTTTTATCAAATTAATTAAAACATATTTTATTGGTAAATATTTTTGCTAAAATATAGTTATTTAATAATGTTATGATATTAATGTTTTTCTTATTTTAATTTTAATAGTTATGAAAAAATAAGATATTCTATTTTAAAATTAGAGTACAAGATATATATTATGTTTTAATAAATCTGATTTTCAATCATATAAACTAAAACTTATCATAAGAATATACTTATGGTTTTTGGTATAAAACCAAAAAAAAAAACCGCTAGTATATAAAACGAACCAAACCAAAGTTCATATGGTATTAATATGGTAGCTAATTGCTATAAACCAAAAAACATATATATCGAACTGACATCCGGACTGAATACCTCTACATGGTATGCTAGAATATATGACATGGCATATTAATTCATATGACATGGCAATTACATTAAATGTATATTTATATTTTTGGTAAACCTTTAAGAATATGAAAATAACTAATACATCATAATTAAAATAAATCTATTTAAATATGACATTGAATAGAAATATAAAATATTTTACAAATCATGAAATATTATTTAATTCTATTTTTATAATCATATAAATTTTATTACTTAATAGTATTTTTAAAGTTGAAAAAATAAGATTTCCAATTTTATACAGTTTATTAACAAAAATTATAAACTTTTAATTGTAACATCATTTGTTTCATTCTGATATCTACAAATTTCAGAAATATTGTATAGTTTTATTTTTTGCTAATTATAAAAATTGTGTATCAATTTTTTTTGAACAATTATGCAAATTGATTTAATATATCTTAGTCAAAATATATAAAATTATTTATATTTTTAAATATAATTTAAAATAAATCAAAATGTATATTTTAACTTAATTTTATATTTAACTATATTAAAATTTATATTAAAATAATAAACTATAGAATATTAATTGACTTTTATGTTTAAATATAATTTAAGTTTAAAAATTTTACTGCTGCAAATGGTGCAAAAAAACAGCTACACTAATATATTTTAATTAATCGTTTATTCGGTTTGTTCGGTTTATATCAAACCATATTCATATACCGCGGTTTCTTAAAATTAACCTTCATTCGATTTATTCGGTATTACCAAATCCAAAGCACTTTGCGGTTCGGTTTTACCGGATTGACACCCCTAATTTAATTTGATGTTAAACCTCATTCTTCTATTCTCTCTTTCTGGTGATAGGATCAAAGACGTTGGAATCAACGACCAGGCTACTCTCCAATGGAAAAGGTGAGTTCTTCTCCGACCTCTGTCTCCGATGAAATGGCCGAAGCATAGATTCACACGAGAATAAAAACAATGTAATGTCGCCTTGTTTTTCCTTTTTGTAATTATGTCTCTATGTGTTTATGCTAATAAAGAGTTCCATTTTTTTGGGGGAAATAGCATCCAGTAGCGCAAAAAAAAATATAGTTCACTCGTTAGCTATTTGACATAATTCACACCAGTATATGATGTATTATATGTACTAATGCAGTTTTTCCCTTTCAGAAAACCGGTGTATCCTACAAAACAAAATGAAATATAAATTAGATATTATTTATATAATAGGTAAACGTGGCTCTTCCTTTGTCACAAATTTTCCATCCTATTAAGTTTATGAAAAGTAACAAATGGAAAAGAGCAATAGTTTTGTCTCCTTCTTCTGCAATTATGAAGCCTCCGTACATCCATCTTCTGCGACGACGGTGCTGCGGCTCCTTCCATCCATCTTCCCAATCTGAGACTCATCAGTGAGTGAACATAATATGTAAAAACAAGTAAGTTTGATTTTAGATTTGGTAGTTCTACTGCTCTGTTGGCTCATCCCTTATACTTTCGATTAGTTGTGTTTTGAGTAACCCAAGTGACATGAGTTAAAATATCTTAAAGTTTAGTCATTTGCTGTTGCATGTGAGATTATATATGCCGAAGAAGAAGAAAACACAGTTGAGAAATGTGACTCAAATACATAATTGTTGAATCGTAGTTAAGGAAGACAAGGAAGTAGCTGAACAAATAATTTATTTATATACTATTTTTATGAAATAGAACAGTTTGTCTTCCCGACACTTCTCTTATTTAACATGTTCATTAGTATATAATGTACTATTAGTGATATATTTATTTGATGCTTTACAATAGGGTTCAATCTTGTTTGGAACTATAGTTTGTAAATTTTATGTGTTGATTGTTTCTGATCCATTGATACAAGATTTGTATCGGTGTGTATATGAATTTTATATTAGACATATAATTTAGTACAGAGAAATAGTATAGTTAAATATAAATGGAATATAATTTCGTATGACATCAAATAAAATAGATTACAACGTGACGTTGAACGAAATAATTTTCATATGATGTTGTTTTTTGTTTCTTTTTTTAATGCCGTCAATCTCAATCTCTTTCGATACCATCAATCTGAATATTTTATCATATCGTCAATTTTGAAATCTTCCGGCGTCGATATTTTCTTCAGTATGGACTGCACAATACTATTCTGTTTTTATTTTTATATAGTATAGTTTAATATTACAAAACCGAAAATACTATTTTCAGATGTAATTTTATTAACAATATTATAAATGTGTATTATGATTTACATATGGGTTTGGGTAATCATATTACATAATATAATGTACTATTTTAAGATTTTTATATTTGGGTTTAGGGTTTATATTTGGGTTTAGAGTTTATTGATTAGGATTTAGGGTTTAGTATTTGGATGGTGGGGGATGAGATTGGGGTTAGCATTAATGTCTTCTATGCAGTCATATACATTTTATTTTCATCAATAAGTACTATACTATTTTTTTTGGTTCCATTCCATTTGGGTTTAAAATTTATATTTGGATTTAGGATTTAGTGACTAGTGTTTAGGGTTCAGGGTTTAGTATTTAGGGGTCGGGATGTGGTTGGGATAGTATTTATTATTTAGGTGTTGAAAAGAAGTTGGTATCCTATACTATTTTAGTGACATGAAATAGAACAGTCGAGAACTTTCAAATTATATGCTTGTATATTCTTCGACTTTGCTATCTGTAATAAATAAAATACACTTTTTAACTTGAATTTTCTTTTAACATGATGTGAGTGTAATTAATAATGATTCATCATTGATCAACGGTAACACTTTTTTGGATAATATTGATACGTGGCTGCATCATTTTCTTTCAAATTGAATAGTTTTAATTTGAACTTCACCATATTATATTTTGGCTACGTCATTTTCAACAACACAAAGTTACCGGATGATTACAAGAAGAAGGGGTAGAACCGGATGATACTTGACGTAAATGATAGTTATTACATTACGTCAAAATCATGCTATTTATTTAATTTTGATTGCAAATATGGTTATTCAGCAATTTTTCTCTTTTTTTGTAACTTGGCTTTCTAAGAGTTCCATTTTTGGGAGTTGTGTGTCTTAGTTTCTGTTAAAACTCTTTTAGAATGGAATTAACTTTGGCGTAGTCTCCTTTGTCTCTGATTTTGGGTCCGATTGATCTTATGTTGTGGTGTTTGATTAGTTTAGTTGGGCGATCATTGCATCCAAGATCACGGATAAGAGCACAAGGAAATGATGAAGAAGGTGTGATTAAAGTTTATTTAGAATGATCGTTTATGGGTTTTAGTTTATCCAATCATGAGTTCTAATTTTTCAGATGTTAATCTCTGATTTCAAGAGAGAATATTGGTCCTCTGACAAAGATACACTTTTGTGTGAGGTTAGACATGTTTTGAAACCTGCATTGACATGTTTTAGTCATGCTCTTTTTTCAGGAGAAGTCACATTCTAGGTTATAAGGAGATCAATAGCATGGGGATAGATTACATCTTATAAAGTAGGTCTGAATCAGCAAAACCCCCAATTTTGGGACTTGCCCACAATGCATAAGTATACAACATGGAGGAACAAGATCAAACAGACAGGACAAAAATGAGTGATGGTAAGCAAACAACTCTGTGTAAACTTTTTGTTGTTGTTGATTATCCTGTAAATTTGATGCGAGAGCATGTGTTAAGACGCGACATAGTTAGTAATTTGTGTGTTTCCGGTAAATATGTGTGCCTAAAAGTAACCAAAAGAAGTTTTTCTTAAGTAGGATGATCTGAAAGTAACAGTTTTGATGCATCCAGCCACTATGCGGTTTTGCTGTGATTCGAAAATACATTCCAGAAGAAGTATAATACACCATTGCATGATTCTTTATGAGCTTTCTAATAACAAAAGCGCTGTTTCCAATATGCAAGTCCACTGATTTTCTTCTTTTTTTTTAAAACGCTACACGAAGCAAATTCTAGTTTATACTATTAAAGTAAAATCTCCTTAGAATTTTGCCATTGGTTTTTAACTTATTTACAGTACAATGTCATTCCCTATTTTCGAACTTTTTTAATCATTCCACCAAATATATTTACTGCATATTATTTACGTTCGTTAGAGAATCAAAGAATTAATTATGAATGCGATATTGTTAAGATCATCTGGCTATATTTTGGAATTATGTGACTGTCAATTAAGATCATTTTTCTTTAAGAAAATCATTTAACACTTGAAATATTACATTTATTATATTTACAGTATGCTAATTATGAATTATCTAATATATTTATGAAATGAAGATCTGGATGAAAATCTATGAAATGTGCTACCAAAATTTGGTAAAAACCAATAGGATTTCACTATTGTTTTTTCAATTTTTTGTTCCTAACAAAAAAAAATAGTTTTTAAAATATTTTAATAACTGCAATAATTAACTTTATAAATAAAGAATTTTAAATTAATATTATAATCATTTTAATTTCATTCTAATTTCTAAGAATGAAATACTAAAGTTACTTAATAATTATTGTGTATGGGTTAATGGTTTTATGATTATAGATTTTTATAAGATATTACATCGAACATGCAAAACTTGGTTGAATGAATATTAATATATTAACTAATGTATATTATAAAAACACTAAGATGAACTTTGACTAATGTGAAACAATTTTAAAATACAGATTATCTCATTACAGTTTTAGCTTATTAAAAATATAATAAAACTTATGAAAATAAATTAAATCAGTGGATTTTATTTATATTCAACTATGTATACATTTGAAAACAAATAATTATATATATATTACTCCTTCCAGATATAAATGTTTGATGTTATGTATATTTCACACATATTAAAAATGTTTTACCAATGTTTCACTGTTTATTTTTTACTTCGGAATACTTAGAATATTATACAATTTTAAGTGAATATTTACAATAATTTTAATTTGAAAATAATCTTAATATTTTATATATAAAATTTATCCTTAAAAAATCAGTTATTGAAACTAAAATTAGGACTTCGAATAAATGTATACAAATATCTGAACGGTTCAAATATCAGTTAAATTGAAAAACAAAAACAAACCGAGCACTAAGTAGATAAAATTCAAAATATATTTATATATATAAAACTAACAGTTATATTTAGTTTTAAAATTATTAAATATTTAAACCATATTATTTATAAACCAAATGAGCAAAAAAAATCTGGATTATCATATTATATTTATTATCCAATATTTAAAAATTCTTTTGAATTTCTTGATAAAAGAAAAATTACCTGAATATCTTTGATCTAAAATATTTAAATTTATTAGAGTTATCCAAAATTTTATACAAAAAATCTCAAAATATAATTTTTATCCAAATTATTCAAGATTATCCCAAAATGGGAATTGAACCAAAAACAAAATAAATTCTAAATTTTATCTAGTTCTTAACAATGTTATCCAAAACTCACCAAAACAAAAATAGCCAAACTAAAACCAAACTGATAAATAACAAAACGGTACTTATATCTTTTGAACCAAATAACTAAAAACTACATATGAACTAAAACAAACCAAAAACAAACTAAAACTGAACCAAAAATTGAACCTTCATGCCTAAGCATATTAGTCAACAAATGAAAGAATTAATAATTTCGTTAAAAATATAATCCCGCGCTTTCAAAGTGCGAGTCAAAATCTAATGGTATATTATTATCATTGAATGATTTATTCTATTTACTCTTAAGAATCATCCACGTCACCACCCTAAAATAGCTCACTAAACAAATAAAAAACAGAAAAATATTTTTTTAAACGAAGAAACACAACTAACCATTTACCACTTACAGTTAAAATAGTTGTCTAAAACAAAAACACAAACCTATAAGATGTATCCATTCATTTTTCAAAAATCTTTCATCTTTCTATTTCTTCAAAAACCTTCTCTTATTTTTCAAGATATTCAGAGATATTGAATGGGAAAAGCCCAAGTTTGGTCCGTGACGACCGCTTACGCTTTCCTATTCTTGTCTCTGGCATCACAAGTCCATTGTAGGAGCCATGTCAATGGGATTCGTCGCTTAAGCAGTGTAAAGCAACAAGAGCTGAAGGAGAAAGATCTAATCAAAAGCCTCCCAGGACAACCTCCAGTTAATTAGTTTCAGGCAATACGCTGGTTATGTGGCCGTAAACGAAACAACCGGACGGTTTTTTTTCTATTATTTCGTGGAAGCCAACAAAGCCAGCGACTCTGCTCCTCTTGTGCTCTGGCTCAACGGAGGTAACCTTATCCATTACTCTAATACTCTGGACAAAAAAAAAATTAATGTCTTTTTCATTGCATTTCAAAATCACATGGAATGATGCAAATGATTCATTGCAAAACCTAATTGTTACTGATCTAAATATACACCTCTCTACAAACTCTTTTATTACAAAAAATAATATTCCCTATTATAATTACGAACTTCCTAAAACATGAAAATAATGTCTTTTCATGCAAGTCATGCAGATGATCTTTTAAACATGTACCTTCCCATAACCATTGAGAATTAAGTTCATTAACAAGTAAATAGTAAAAAGTTATCTGATCATTGCCTAAAAAACTCATACATTCAAAATTTAAATTAATTAAATAAAAAAAAAATTTAGGACCGGGATGCTCATCTCTAGGAGGAGGGGGACTGAAGGAGCATGGACCCTTCCGAGTACACAGCGACGGCAAAACTCTTTTTCGCAATCCTTATGCATTTAACAACGGTACCTTGTCTTTTCTTACAAAACCTATTATTAGAATCTTTAGCATATTATATTGATCAGAAGTTAATAATAAGTATTACGAATGGATGTGCAGAGGCGGACGTGTTGTACTTAGAATCTCCAGCAGGAGTAGGATTATCGTACACGGATACTCCAGAGGATACGATTGACCCAACGGACAATAAGACAGCAGAGGATAACTACATGTTCTTGGTGAACTGGCTCGAAAGGTTTCCCGACTACAAAGGAAAAGAGTTTTACATTGCCGGTCAGAGTTACGCTGGTCACTATGGCCCCCAACTTGCCCAGATCATCCTTCAACGTAACAAGCAAACCTTCATCAACCTACGATGCGTTTTTGTGGAGAGTATTGTCGTTTTTAGGTCATTGGTCCTAATGGACTTGCGGATTGGTTAATGGTTTCTTTCTCTATTCGTTTGGGCTGGTACAGAGGTTCACTTTAAACCAGAAACACGGATAGATTCATTCCGTTAATAGGTCCGTTAGTTTGTTAGCTAACGTTAACGGCTAATAAACAAACTTCATCTTCTTCGTTTGAGTTATAAAACAGAGGAGTTGCAGAGATAAGATTCTACGGTTGTTACAAGATAGAGAGTCAAGGAAGCTACCAAGTTGGAGGAGAAAGCTCGATCAAGAACAGAGAGATCAAGGTGCGATCAAAGCTCTTGCGATCTTCAAGCTTTCTCCAGATCACTCTGCGTGTTCTCTTCGGTATCAGAGGAATCGGAGGCTGATAGTGAGTCGTCTTCTTTGCAGAGATCTTGGTACTCTTCCTGGAATATCTCTCGGTATAAGCTCTTGTAATACCTGCACAGGAAAGTGTGTAAAGATCGGTTAAGATCGAGCTATTGTATCACATCGATATCATAGTGGAAATCATGAGAGTTTAGTTCTCTCTCCAGTCATTAGGCAACGAAGACTGGGTCAACAAATTCTCTGTGTTGCTTTGCGTTTGATTGATCTAAGTAGTATCACTTGTTAGCACTCGTTCAACAAGATAGAAAGAACTTAGCTATAACTTGATTAAGAAGCAATTGAACCTAGTCTTGATACCTAACAAGTGGTATCAGAGCCAGGTTCTCGGTTTAAAGAACTAGGTTTGTTCAGCGGTGAAGCTGTGATTCTGGTTGAAGTTATCTGTGTTTGTGAAGTTGTTGTTTGTGAGGTGTGTTAACTGCAGTGATAGCTATGGAGTCAGTTCATGGCAAGTTAAAGATGGAGAAGTTTGATGGTTCGAGTGATTTCAGTATGTGGAAGTTCAAGATGTTAATGCAGCTTGAGCTGCAAGGGCTGGGACACATTTTGGCTGAGGAACCGAGCTTACCTAAGGAGGAAACAGATGAGGATGAAGATGTTGAGAAGGAGGTTAAGAAGGATAAAGATCCTTTGTCCAAAGAGAAAGATACTCGAGCAAAGAACTTAATATGCTCAAGTCTCACCAACATCGTTCTCAGGAAAGTAATGAAGGAGACTACTGCTAAAGGGGTGTGGAAAGCTCTGGAGAATGACTATCAAACGAAGACCTTACCTAATCGCATCTATCTAAAGCAAAGTTTTGCTAGTTACAAGATGGATGAAAGTAAAAGTATTGAGGAGAATCTCGATGTGTTCTTAAAGCTAATAGACGATCTTGCAAGTCTAAACATTGAAGTTTCAGATGAAGATCAAGCCATCCAGATTCTAACGAGTCTACCTCCTCAATATGATTCTCTGGTTCACACTCTAAAGTATGGGAATGGCAAAGAGACACTGACAGTTAAGGAAGTGACTACTTCTGCTTATGCGAAGGAGGCAGAGTTAAAGGAGAAAGGACTTCAGAAACGTCCTAAGTCAAGTGCAGAAGGCATGGTTGCTACTAGAGGGAGAAGTGAAAAGAGAGCAGGAAACTCAGGAAGGTTTAGGTCTAAGAGCAAAGATTATCGCTCCAAGTCTAAAGGCAAAGGTCAACCTAAACCAAGAGAATGTTGGGTTTGTGGTAAAGAGGGGCATTTTAAAAGTGAATGCCCGGAGAGGAAAGACAATAAGTCTAACAACACAGCTAATGTAGCTCAAGACAAGGAGTTCCCTATGATACTTACTGCAAGTGCTCATGATACGAGGAAGGAATGGGTTCTGGACTCAGGTTGTACGTTTCATATCACACCAAACAGAGATGTACTGTATGATTTTGAAGAAGTAAAAGGTGGAAGAGTGCTTATGGGTAACAATACGTTCAGTGAAGTTAAAGGAATTGGAAAGCTGAAGGTTGTGAATCCAGATCAGTCTACGGTTGTATTAAATGGAGTTCGGTATATGCCAACGATGGGTATAAACCTCATATCTTGTGGACAGCTGGAAAAGAGTGGTTGTAAGTACACTGGTGAAGAATTCAGTGTGGTGTTTACGAAGAATGGTAAGAAGGTTATCTCAGGGAAATATAAAGATGGGTTATACTATCTGGAAGGTTCCGTTGCGAAGGCTGAAGTGAATGTTACACGAGTAGCAGAAAATCTTACGAACTTATGGCACTCCAGGCTGGGACATATGAGCTTAAAGAATATGAATGTTCTGGTTAAGAATGGTTATCTAAAGGATAAGGAGGTTCACACGTTGGATTTTTGTGAAGACTGCGTTCTAGGAAAATCACACAAGTTACCGTTTCCTACTGCTAAGCATACATCGAAGGAAATTCTAGCATACATTCACAGTGATTTGTGGGGTTTTTTTTCTAATGCTGGGAGCTTATCAGGTTGCAGATATTTCTTAACGTTGATTGATGATTTCTCGAAGAAAGTTTGGATTAGGTTCTTGAGATCTAAAGATGAAACTTATGAGAATATTGCTGATTGGAAAAAGCTAGTAGAAACTCAGACACGAAAGAAGATTAAGTGTTTTCGCACTGACAATGGGTTAGAGTTCTGCAACAATCAGATGGAATCAATGTGTAAGGAAGAAGGAATCAAGAGACATCGAACTTGCACTTATACTCCACAACAGATTGGAGTGGCAGAAAGAATGAATAGGACTATTGCTGATAAGGTTCGTTGTATGTTAGCTGAATCAGGTTTGGAAAAGAAGTTTTGGGCTGAGGCTGCATCTACGGCTGTCTACTTGATAAACAGGACTTCTAATTCGTCGATTGAATTCAAAATTCCAGAAGAAGTTTGGTATAGGGTTAAGGTGGAGTTTGGTCATCTCAGGAGGTTTGGTTGTGTTGCGTATGTTCATACTGTTCAAGACAAGATGAGTCCTAGAGCTGTAAAAGGTATCTTCATGGGTTATCCGCAGGGAACTAAAGGTTACAGAGTATGGTTAGCTGATGAAGGGAAGTCTACAAATAGTAGAAATGTGGTTTTCAATGAAAGTGTTATGTACATGAAGGATAAAGGCAAGGAAGTTGAGTTTGAACCGAAAAGAAAGCGGGTCTTGTTTAAAGAAGGTTTGGTTCAAGGTCCTACTCGAGGAAAGTCTACATTTGAGGTTGGTTCTACGTCTAGTACTGGTCAAGGTGGAGTTGTTTCAGGTACGAAAGAGGAATCATAATCAGATGACAGTGATGAAGACTCAGAGAGTAAGGCAGAAAGTCAGACAGATTCTTTGAGTGATTATCTTCTGGCCAGAGATCGAGTTAGAAGGGTTACTAAGCCTCCAGCCATATTTGAGAGTGGAGACTTTGTGGCGTATGCGCTTTCATGTGCTGATGATTTGAACATTGAAGAGCCAAAGACAGTGACAGAGGCAAGGAAGAGTAAGAACTGGGATAAGTGGAATGCGTCCATGAAAGAAGAAAAGACATCTTTGGATAAGAATCACACTTGGGATATCGTAGAAAGACCTCCTAGACAAAGGGTTGTTGGTTGTAAGTGGATTCTGAAACTGAAGGAAGGGATTCCAGGAGTTGAAGCACCAAGGTTTAAGTCGCGTTTGGTTGCTAAAGGTTTTACTCAGGTAGAAGGTGTTGACTACAACGAGATTTTTGCTCCAGTGGTAAAGCATGTTTCTATAAGGATTATTTTGTCCTATGTGGTCAATGTTGATGCAGAACTGGAACAGATGTTAAAACAGCTTTTCTACATGGGAATCTAGATGAAACGATCTATATGGAGCAGCCAAAGGGGTTGATTAAGAAGGGAGATGAGGGGAAAGTTTGCTTACTCATGAAGTCTCTCTACGGTTTGAAACAGTCACCTCGGCAGTGGAATCTAAGGTTCGACGCATTCATTAAGACACTCGGGTTTACTCGGGGGATTAAAGATCCTTGTTTCTATGTCAAGAAGTCTAAGAAAGGAGAGAGTATCTATCTACTCTTATACGTTGATGATATGCTCATTGCTGCTAAGAGTAAGAAAGATATTCAAGTACTTAAGGAAAGTTTAAGTTCGGAATTCGAGATGAAAGATCTTGGTTCTGCTTCAAGAATTCTCAGAATTGATATATTTCGTGACAGACAGAAGGGGGTACTTAAGCTTACTCAGAGAAGGTACATTGATCAGGTTTTAAAGACGTTTGGAACGGAATTCTGTAAACCGGTTATAACACCTACTAATTCTCAGTTTAAGCTAAAGAGTTTAACAGAGAAAGAGTGGTTAGTGGAGGCTAAAAAAGTGAGTTCTATTCCGTATGCAAGTGCAGTTGGTAGTCTTATGTACGCTATGGTGGGATCTAAGCCTGATCTTGCGTTTGCTGTTGGATTGGTTAGTCGGTTTATGTCAAAGCCAAGCAGAGAACACTGGGAAGTGGTTAAGTGGATACGAAGGTATCTACAAGAAGCTAAGGATGTGTGTTTAACATTCACAAAATCAGGAGATTTTGGTATTGAAGGCTACAGTGATTCAGATTATTCTACTGACCTCGACAAGCGAAGATCAGTCACAGGGTATGTATTCAAAGTTGGAGGTAATATTGTGAGTTGGAGATCATCACTACAACATGTTGTAGCTTTATCTACAACAGAGGCTGAGTACATGGCGTTATCTGAGGCTACTAAAGAAGGGTTATGGCTAAGGGAATTCTGTGAAGAATTGGGTTTTGATTCAAACAGTTTTAAGCTACACTGTGATTCACAGAGTGCTATTTGCCTAGCTAAGAATGTAGTGCATCATGATCGTACTAAACATATTGCTAGGAAGATTCATTTTATCAGAGACATTATTGATTTTGGTCTAGTGAAGGTGCTAAAGATTCATACGAGTCTAAATCCTGCAGATATGTTGACGAAAACGTTACCTGGAAATGCGTTCGAGGAGTGCCTCGTAACGCTGGGGATCGTCGCTTGATCGCTTCGTGATATACTCCGAGATGGCTCTGTTGTTTGGTCGTCTCAGAAGAAGAGGTACATAAAACAAGGAGGCAAAAGTGTTAGTGGTTTGTCTCTGGTTTAAACAACAAGGTTCTAACTAACAGTTGTTCAAGTAAAG